ATTTTGCCGTCCTGGGCGCCGCGTGAACCGTCTTGGAACTCTCTTGGGGGCCACCTAGGCCGTCTTGGGGGCCTCTTCGGACGTGTTGGACGCGGCGAAAACCCAACAGGCGACCATGCGAAATGTATACGTTTTCCAATGGGAATGGGACCATTTTTGCTTCTTGGACCTCTCTTGGGGTGCCTCTCGGAACGTCTTGGGCTGATGTTGGAAGACATTTGGCGCCTCTGGGCGGCGTTTTGGCGCCTCCTGGGATATGTTGGGCCGGAAGCTCGGAATTCGAGAGTGGCTTTCTCCTTCTGGGACCCCTCTCGAAGTCGTTTTGGGGTTCTCTTGGGCCGTCTTGGGGCCGTCCTGAGCCACTCGTGCGCAGCCTTGGAGCGCTCCCGGAGGCCTCCTAGGCCGTTTTGGAAGCCTCTTGGGCCGTCTTGGACGCGGTGAAAGCCCAAGATGCGAACATGCGAAAAATATACGTTTTCCCAAAGGAATGGCACGTTTTTCGTTTCTTGGACATCTCTTGGGGTGCCTCTCGGAACGTCTTGGGGTGCTTTTGGGAGCCTTTTGGCGCCTCTTGGCGGCATTTTGGCGCCTCCTGGAGCCTCTTGGGCCGGAAGCTCGGAATTCGAGGTTGGCTTTCTCCGTCTGGGACCCCTCTCGAACTCGTCTTGGGGCTCTCTTGGGCCGCCTTGGGGCCGTCCTGGGCCACTCGCGCGCAGCCTTGGAGTGCTCCCGGAGGCCTCGTAAACCGTGTTGGGCGCCTCTTGGGCCGTCTTGGACGCGGTGAAAGCCCAAGAGGCGAACATGCGAAAAATATACGTTTTCCCATAGGAATGGCACGATGTTTGCTTCTTGGGCCTCTCTTGGGCTTCCTCTCGGAGCGTCTTGGAGGCTTCTGGGACCTTCTTGGTGTCATGACAGGCGTCTTGGAAGGCATCAAGAGCCATCGGAGCGCGTTCCGAAGCCGTTTGCGAACGATCTTGGACGGCGTCCGGCGGTCCGACGAGCCTCCGGGCCCCCCGGAGCCCACATTTGTGGTCGAGGTCCCGGCCCCAGGCCCCCGGACCCAGTGCGCCGTTATATGCATATTGGTAGTACTCGTGAAAGTGGTAGCACCAGTCGTAATAATATATACAGCTAGCTTGAGCGGTAGCAGCGGCAACAGGAATAGTCGCAACAGTGTGTCCTGAGAGCAGAATTTGTTGGGCGGGCGCAATGAGCGGTAGTGGTCGTAGTAGTGGTACAAATAGTCATGATCACCACAGTAATCGTAGTATGTATCTATTTTTATATATATGTATATATATATATATATATATATATGTATATATATGTATATATATATATATATGTAATAAAAACCATCGCGCGCGCTTCGCGCGCGCTCAGGTTCCAGCCCAGGCAGGGGGGGCGCTGGACGATCTTGGACGTCGCTATCAAGCACAGGCGCGCGACGGCATCAGCGGAGCTTCTGTGGTGTTCCGCATGCCTCGTCAACTGGCTGTTGGAGGCACCTCTTGGGTGCTTCCGGGGGGGGCCTCTAAGGGCCCCTTGGGGGCATCGGTTCTGCAATCTGAAGCCGCCATTGGCCGTCTTGGCTGCGTGGAGGCCCGACTTGAGACCACCTGCGGCCAGATTGACGCAATCCGGAAGCCTCCCGGGGGCCTCCTGGAAACAGTTTTGACGCATCGAGGGCACTTTGGGCTATTTTAAAACCTCTTGGACGTCTCCTATGGGCCTTTTGGGCCCTCGGGAAGCTTTTGGCGTCCTCGTCGGACCACTTGAGGGCCTCTTGCGGCCTCCTGTGGGTCTTTTGGGGGGAACGCTCTGCTGTTGGCTCGCGTTCCCCTTCTTGGGCCTCTCTTGGGGCTCTTGGGGCCCTCTCGGGCCGCCTTGGGCGCCTCAAGCACCGTCTTGGGGCCTTCGCGGGCCGTCTTGGGGCCCTCTTGGAAGCCTCTTCCTTTACATGGGAGCGGGATTGGAAGCCTCTTGGGCCGTCTTGGAACATCGGGATGCCAAAAGGCAGAAAAAAATAAAGCCTGTCAAAGCCCAATCGAAAAACAATGACTTGTGCCCCTTGGGCCCACCTTGGGAGATCTCTTGGAACCTCGTCGGCACTCTTGGGGGCTTCTTGGGGGCCTTTTGGATCCGATTGGGGGCCTCTTGCGACTTCCTGAGAATCTCTCGGGGTAGAAAGCTCGGATTCTCGGTTCGTGCTTCCCTCCTTGGGCCTCTCTTGGGGCCGTTTTGGGGCCCTCTCGGGCCGTCTTGGGCGCCTCAGGCACCGCCTTGGGGCCCTCGTGGGCCGCCCAGGGCCCTCTTGGAAGCCTCTTCGGCTATCTTGGAGTTGTCTTGGATACCTCTTCCTCCTCCTCGTCCCCCTCCTCCTCCTCCTCCCACCCCAGCTCTCTCTCCTCCTGATTTTCCTCCTCCTGCAGCGTGTTCCGGATGGCCCCCGCCGGAACATGCTGTGCACAAGTGCTGTCACTGCTCCCGTCACCGTGCCCTGGGTGGTGGGTCAGAGGCCTTACGGGTGTTGGTTTGGATCTCGTGGTTGGCCTGTCGGGGACGTCGTGAAGGCAATTTCGCAGTTTCTCGGTCGCCGTTTTGGGACCGTTGTGGGGCCTCCTCGGGGCTGTTATGTGGCCTCTTTAGACCTCGTTTGGGCCTCCTGGGTGCCTCTTGGGGGCCTCCTGGGGCCTCTTGGGGGCACCTTGGGGCCTCCTGGGGCGCTTTTCAAGCCGGAGGGGCGAATTTGGGAGTCGTCGTCCCCTTCTTGGGCGCATCTTGGGGCCGTCTGGGGGCTCTGTTGGGCGGTCTTGGGCGACTCTGGGGCCCTCTTGGGGCCCTCTTGGGCCGGGCCTATTGAGCCGCGTTGGAACGTCGGACAGCCGAAAAGGCTGGAAGGCCAAAATCGTTCGAAAACTTTTTGTAAAATTGACGATATCGGACTCTTGAAGCGCTCTGGAGAGGCGTCTTGAAGCGTCGCGGAGAACCTTGGGGGGCCTCTCGGGCCGTCTTGGGCCTATATTGGGCGTCCTGGAGCGGTCTTTCGTCCGGAACGCGCTTGGGCAAGCGCTGGGTCTGGGGAAGGCGAATGACACCCGTCCAGGCAGTTTGGGATGCTCGGGGCAAGAGGCGGAAACCATCCTCACAAGACATTCAGTCTTCCTGGAGTCCGCCAGAACGCCTGGAATGGTCACGCGCTGCGGTTCCCCGTGCCAGCGTCCTCGGACGCGGGCGCCCTGCCACAAGCGCGTTCCGGGAAGATGCTCCCGGAACGCGCTGAAAAAAAGATCTCGAGTCTCCCAGGTGGCCTCCAAGAGACCCCAAACAGTCTGATAAGTATCACGGCACGGCCCGAAGAGGCCAACGTCGTATATGTTCAATTGCGTTTTCAATGTTTTTGGTTTCTCGCGTGAGCTTCCAATGGTCCAAGAGCGCCGAAGAGCCTCCCAAGACCAGCCCAAGACCGCCCAAGAGACCCTCAGGACGGCCCCAAGACAGGCCAAGAAGGCTCCAAGACTGCCGAAGAGGCGCCCAGCGCAGCCCCATACCACCCCAGAACAGCCCCAGACCACTCTCTTACTGTGCGGCTGCGGTGGGAAGTACAGAACTCCGACACAAATGTCCAAGAGCCCACGCCGTACATGCGCAGCAACAGAACGACCCCAGAGCTCGGGAGGGCTGGCGAACATTTGTCTGACATGCTTCTCGCTGAACCATTTTCCCCATCATGATGGATACAACTGCGCTCCGATGTGTGAAATGACCTCGCTGCACTGCCGCTTCCAAGACGACTCTTCCTGAAACTTTCTTCTGCAATACCTCTGCCGGCTCTCTGCATGCAGTCTGCGTTCCTGCACGTAAGACAAAATCCACATTCATGGTGCTCAACGAGATGTCCTGTGAGCGACCTCCTGTTGCATACTGCGGATGCCATCCCAGGACACGCAGCAGTGACATCAGCGGCGTTCCATAGCGAATCGGCCGCGCGGCCGAAGGGTACCTGTTCACATCGGAGAAGAGTTGCTGTGACCTGAAAGGGGGGACCCCTCGGGCCCGAGGCTATAGGGAGGAGGAGGAGGAGGAGGAGGAGGAGGAGGAGGAGGAGGAGGAGGAGGAGGAGGTGTGCGAGGTGAAGGGCCAGAGGCCTCTCGGATGCCTCTCGGAGTCTCTTGGGATGTCTCTTGCGGGTTTCTTCGCTGAGCTTCTTGGAAGCCGCTTCGGGTGTCCTGGGGCCCTCTTGGCGGTCGCGGGGGCCGTTTGGGCGCCTCTTGGGGGCCTCTTGGGGCGACCTTGGGCTGGCCGGCTTGCAGGCCAGATTGCAGTGCTGGTGTGGCCAGGGTGTCGGGCACCTGATCAATAGCCCCCCAAGAGGGCCCAAGACAGCCTAAGAGGCCCTGGGTGCCGAAGATGGTTTAAGAAAGTGGCTTGTTCCACGGCGCAAGACGGTTCACGAGGCCGCGAAAATCGTCCCAAGACGCTCCAGCAAGCCCCCCCCGGGAGAGTCTCGACGCTGCCCAAGAGGGCCCTAAGACAGCCCTAACATGCAAGACGGCAACCCCCAGGAGAGTTCCACAGATCCGCGGAGGATCCCCCACTGGCGCAGAGGACGAGGAGGTTCCACAACCCCCAAGGGGGGGGCGCAAACCCCGTGGGCGGTTCCACTAACCCGCGTGGAGACTCCACAAGCCTGGGGGAGTCCACATGCCCGGGTGGGACTTCCGCAATCTCGGGGGGGGCAGGCGGCCACAAACCCCGCGGGGAGGCTTCCACAAGCCCAGCGGGGATCCACAACCCACGGGGGGGGGGGGGGCACAAGCCCGCGGGGCCTCTTAGCGACCGCGGGGGCCACTTGGGGGCCACTTGGGGGCCTCTTGGGGACCTCTTGGGGCCATCTTGGTGCGCTCTCGGGGGCCCTGGATGCCCTCTGGGCGCCATCTCGGAGCTTGCTTAAAGGCGCCTCTTGGAGCCCTCTTGGGGTGCCATCAGGGCGGTTTTTCATTTCCAGACCTTTGCAATATGCTCGGGTCGCTCGCCTCAGACGCTCCGCGGTCCCCATGCGAAAAATCTGATGGCTCGGGGGTGTGTGCAAGGCCGTGCGAGCTGGCCGTGCCCCTTTGCCGAGCCGACCTCGGGATGCCTCCGCTCATGCGACGAGGCTTGGTCTATTGCTTGCTGGCCGAGCTCGTGGGACAGTTGGACGAGGGCTGCGAGGAGATGGGAACGGAGGGGGAGGGGGGAGAGATGAGCCCGAGGCGGGCGCCAGGGAGAATGCTGGATGGCTCAGCGCCCGAGCGATTCTTGGAGCGCAAAAGGAGACCATCCCAGTCTGTCGGGATCAGGGCGGGTAGAGCGGGAGACGGAGGGATCGCGGCCCTGGCTCGTAAGCTTCGCTATC